AAAAGAGAGAAAGAGAGAGACAGACAGAGAGGGAGAGAGAGATTAAATAGGGCAAGATCCCAGAGGAGAAAATAGGATGGGAACTTGATCCAGAGATACAGGAAGATAATATACAGAGGGTAAAATAGAGCATAAAGATGTGGATGAATTTATTAAGGATAGTAACAAATGAAGGGTAACAAATGGAAGGGATTATCATGTAATTGTTTCACTTTCTTTGTAAAATGGAACCTAATGTAGTGTGCTGAGAACCAAGAGGAAATGGGGAAAGTCAAGGGTTTAGGGAATAAAGTTCCAAATGGCTGTTGTAGTTTATATGAAAAGAAATGGGTGAATTGCTTGGCGATGTTGAGATGGGAGAACATATATTTGCAGGGGCATCAATTTCCATGAATGAATGGCTTGAATCAAACACAACTATGGAGTTGGTATTTTGCAAGGGAAGTCTGAAGGAAAGACATGAAGCAAGGGAGTTGGAACTCATGAAAGGGATTTGCAATTTAGAGTTTCAGAGATGGGGGAGTTAGAGGTATTGACAGAATTCAGGATGTGACTATAAGTGGATGAGTGACAGTGGACATAAATGTTGCTAGAGTTGAGCAGATCAAGTATCTGTGTGGCTAAGTGATTGGACAGGTTAATTTCATTGGCATTGTAAGTACATTTACTCCTGTCTGGTTTGTTTGTTGAAAATGCCAAAGAATATTTATTGAAAATAGAAAAGTATTTTTTATAATACTTTGTTTTTCTAGAAAAGAAGTATTAAAAAGCTCCTTTATCGTCTGGCAAAACATGGCTAATAAATTGTCTCATGCCATTGATCTTGTTTCTCAAATGCATCTAAATCCTGAAGAGATGTAATGAATGAATGCCTCCAGAGTTGTGCAAAGATACATCTGCTTAGTCTTTTGAATACACCACGATCATAGCTCTGCATCATTCTGCTGCACTGAACACTCAGTGGGAAGCTGTAGCTGCTAGCATACTTACATGCTTATTGAAGTGGTGGATATTTATTCATGCTTCTGTGATGTTCTGCCCCATGCACCATGCGCCATAAGCATTTGGTTGGCTTTAAGAAAGAATGAAATTTCCAATGAGAATAGTTAGATGGTCTGGCAAATTAAAAAGTGTCACACCTGGTAGCTCCCTCGATAGCAAATTGAGAATTCGTTTGCTGGAAAAGAAAATGAGGATCATAACAGATGAAAGGAAATTGAGACAAATTACAGAGAAGTTGACTTTAAAAGATGATTTGTGTCCTTTGAATGCATCTCCTTCACCAGAGCATAGATTGATTTTAACTGTGTTTGCTGACAGCCTGTGGGGCCAATGTCTACATCCATGAAGCTGAGTCTGCTGGGTATGTGACCTCTCCCAACCACTCTGATAATTACCCCCCACCCCCCCGCACGCTGATTGCATTTGGATCTCAGTGGCTCCACTGTAAACATGCATACAGCGGCAATTTGAAGATCAATTTGATATTGAAGTGACACCCAAGTATGTCACTTACATTTTCATTTTTTTTCCTACCCAAAGTTAGTATTTTTTAACTGTCATGTCTCAGGGCAATTCATTTCTTTCAGTAGCACATACTGCAAGGAAATCTAGGGGAAAAGGGAAATGCTTAATAACTCAGGCCTGAAAACACAGTGTACCAGTCATTTTGCCATCAGCAGAGTGGGTTATGTACATGGATACTGTCCCTTGCTAGAAATAAGTAAGGAGTGTAAATGTTTAAAACCACAGTCATCAACTTTAATTTCTCTTTTAATTTTTATTTCAAAATGTAATCTTAGTAAACTTGAATATTTTATATTTTTTCTAACTTATTTGTGAAGAAATACGTGTAGTTGAATCAAACTCCTGTTTCTTCTGTGTACTATGAAATTCAGTAGTTCTCTCTTATCCATGGTTTCATGTTCCATGGTTTCAATGCCCTTGGTAAACAGAGGCCCCCAAAAATAGGTGAGTACAGTACACCAAGATATTTTGAGAGACCACATTTTCATAACTTTTCTTACAGTATACTGTTATGATTGTTCTATTTTATTATTAGTTATTGTTGTTAATCTCTTACTATGTTTAATACATAAAGTAAACTTTATCATAGATACATATATATAGAAAAAAATTGTCTATATGTCTTTATAGGGTTTGGTACTATCCGAGGTTTTAGGCACTCACTGTGGGGACTTGGAATGTATCCACTAAGGAAAAGGAAGAACAACAGTATGTTTATTACTTTAAGTAATAAAACTGTTTAAGAACCAGATAACTATACTTAGAACAATGTCTTTAAATTGCTCATCATATATAAAATAATTAAGCTTTTTTTTTTTTCTCTGAGTCTCTAGTGCCAAATCAGTCACTGGATAAAAAGCAAATATGTCTCTTCAGGATTTTGATTTCCTTATTTAAAAATTGAACAGTAATTTTGCTTGTTGAAGATTCACTATAGTATGGTCATGATAGCATATAACTTAGTATCTAATAGGTCTAGACACAAACCAGGCAAATATTTAATATAGCAAAAGTTCAGAAAGCCTAGTTGTAACAATATTTAACTATACCATAGATCATGTTATATCCCGAGTCAAGCTGCATGTAATTCAATTAGCTATCACATCCAGCTAATAAGACATAATTGAACAGTAATTTTCAAGGCCCTGAGATATCAGTTACTGTAGTGAACAGTTTAGTTGATAGTAAAACTAGAAATGGCAGGCGTCCCCACAGTACTTCTTCCAGCTGAGCTTGGGTTCAGTCTTTAGAATCAACACAGGGTTCTAGGCAGGTCAGATGAGTCTACCAGTTTGTTCTTGAGATAAAACTTGCTTGCGACTAATAGCTCTAACGCAGTGTACCAAAAGAATTAATGTGACATTACAGAATATGCCATTTAGTGGTCATCTTGTTTCCCATTATTGGATTGGACTTGTGGTATCACTTCTGTTTACATCAACCCTAGAATTCAAATAATGAGGAAAGCACTAACCATTTTCAGAATTTTAAAAACTTCAATTCATAGTCACTTGGCACCTAAAAGTTTTCACATGTGCTGGCGAAATGAAAAAAACAAAATTTGACATAGAATCTTTCAAATCTTTCCTTCCTTCCTTCCTTCCTTCCTTCCTTCCTTCCTTCCTTCCTTCCTTCCTTCCTTCCTTCCTTCTTTCTTTCTTTCTTTCTTTCTTTCTTTCTTTCTTTCTTTCTTTCTTTCTTTCTTTCTTTCTTTCTTTCTTTCTTCTTTCTTTCTTTCGCTCAATGTGGGGGAAGAGTAGCAGGGCAAAATTGTATTGTTGAAAGCATTGGCCATCTAATGCTTCCATATAGAGACAACTTATTCTGTGAGTGGCATCTCCAGGGGCTCTCCAGACACTATCTCACCATCTCTTTTGAAGATTTTAACCTTCAGAATTCCTCTAGCTGTGAAAAAGACTTCATGGAGATCTGGGACTATCATACTTCCGGTTAGTGAAATGTATCTGCTCTCTTTGGGGTGTTTATTTTCACATGTACTTATTCAGCCTCTGAAGTTTCTTCACTTCCAAGAAAGGCACAAGCATGTCTATACTCTGCAAAGAAGTGCAGATTAATGAGCTTTGGGCAGTACCAGCGATTCTCTCCCTCAATTCTACCATTAACAATGGATGCCCAGAGCCCAGGTGTCATATAGCCTATCCTGGAGGTCACTTGGGGAGAGCAATGGTAGTGTGAAGGCAACCTGTTGCTGCTGAGACATCCCATTGCCACATGCTATTATTGGAGGGGTGTTCTATAGTTTGAGGCAGAGAGAAGGTCATGCATGTCTCCTGGCAGCAGCATAAGGCAGTTATTTGTCACTCTGTTGTCTCAGAGCACTTTTTCAACCAAATAAGCAAGCCTTCCTCATTGTCCTGAGATATCCTTCCCCTAACTGGTTGCATTTTTTTTTCACTTCTTCATATATTTGAATATGTTAATTTTCACTCATGTTTTCCTGTTTTCTTGACAGAGATTAACGTTTCTTCATGGGCAAGGTTTTGTTTTTTATTATTTTCTTTGTACACGCAGGACACTTCAAATAGACACTAAAAGAAATCAATCACCTGGACGTATATTATTTGTCTCTCACAGGAGGCATCTTGGGCAGATGCTGTGCAAACACCATTCCTGACAGCATAGACACTTGTAGCAATACTGCCGTGGTCAGGTTTGTCACAGATGACTCTCTGTCTCAGGATTCAGACTGTGATTTGAATCCAGCATGGAAGGTGATTTCATTGATTCATTCAAAACAACATTGAGCACCTGCATTGGACAGACACTGTGCTAGGCACTGGTGTTACAACAGTTTGAAAAACAAAACAAAACATGACCCCTATCTTCTTGGACCTTAATCAAAAATCACAGTGATAAATGAAAAATTACAGCTGTGATCAATGCTATAAGGGAAAATAACTAGTATCACGAGAGATATAATAAGAGGATGAGAGTTATACTGCAGTGCCTGCCTTAAGAAAGTCCTGTAGTTACTCAGAATTTGCATTACTGCAAATCCAACAAACTCAGATGAAATAAAGATCTTGTTTGGAAGAACTGGATACTTACATTAACCTTCTGATTTTCCTGATTTTTTTTGTAAAGATGGGGTCTTGCCTTGGCCTCCCAAAGTGTTGGGATTACAGGCGTGAGCCACCACTCCTAGCTTATTTCTCTGATTCTTTTTTCTTGAGATGGAGTCTCGTTCTGTCACCCAGGCTGGAGTGCAATGGTGCGATGTTGGCTCACTGCAACCTCTTCCTCCCGGGTTCAAGCGATTCTCCTGCCTCAGCCTCCTGAGTAGCTGGGTTACAGGTGTCCACTACCACACCCGGCTAATTTTTGTATTTTTAGTAGAGATGGGGTTTAACCATGTTGGTAAGGCTGGTCTCGAACTCCTGACCTCGTGATCTGCCCACTTTGGGCTCCCAAAATGCTGGGATTACAGGCATGAGCTACTGCACCTGACCCATTTTTCCTGATTCTTAAGTTCATTGTATTCATTGGTCTCTCATATTTCTTGGGCCATGATGATAATTAAATTGCTGTCTGTGGACTATCATCCATGGAAGCCAGGGTTAAATATTAATAGAGATAGGAAATGCATGTATATATTCACTAAAATCGTCACCCACATAAATACAGAGAATAATTTTGTCTAGAAGGATAATTTTTAAACACCTGAATTTTGAGAGCTTCCCTGATGGAAAGAGACACTTGGATTTGATTGGAAGTTTTCTTAGCTTTTTTCCCCTCACATCAGAGTGTGGTGGGGGTCTTCAGGGCTCTGCTGGAACATCTACTTCTCCCAACTAACAGAACCCAAATCCTCATGGCCGGATCTACGAGTGGAGAATCACCATCCCAGAGGGAAGGTGGATCACCCTAATGTTTAACAACCTGAGGCCGGCCACACATCCATCCTGCAACAACGAGCATGTGATAGTAAGTGTTCCCTGCGGCCTGAGATGTTATATTCCATCATTTAAGGAGTTTACTGACCCACAAATCATAGTCAGAAAACTAGGTCAGGAAAATTGCCGTCTATGCAACTATAACTCAGACAAATTCTAAGTATTGTTGGGAGATCAAAACACAGTAAACTGTCAAACTAATTGTAAAAGTTGTTTTAAGAGGCTAACGGCTATCACTCCATGCATCAGGGTCAGAATAAATTTTAAGAGTGAATGATAATGACAAATGGCAAAACTGGGGAGGCTGTGGGAAGCTAAGCCTACAGCAGCACATAGGTGAATGGGACCAGAGTCACAGCACAAGCCACCACCGAAAGTTCTGAGCAGATGGGTCGTCCTGCATAATGGTTGCTCTCTCCGGGGGTGCAGAGGGACTCCTGGTGGGAGAGCACTGCTACCTGACCTCTATGTCGCCAACCTCCAGTGGTTTCAGATGTGCCTTCAGCACTCTCAGCTTCCTGCAGTGAAAGAAAGCAAATGAAATCCCTGAGTGTGAATAACAAATAGATTGTTAACTGTGAAGTGCTATACATACACATGTGTCTGTAGATAGGTAGACTGGATTAATATTAGCACATTTCTCCCCCCAACTTGCCCCTTCTGCAGTATATACTATCTCAGGAAATAATTCCAAACTTCTGGTTGCTAAGGTCAAAAATCTTGATGTCTATTTTGGAATACTTCTTCTCACACCCTATATGGCATCTCTAGGCAAGTCCCATTGGGTGTATCTTTAAAAATATCCACAATCAAACTACTTATTATCCCTACTACTACTACCCCCACTGTTCACTTGGATTATTTTAGCAAGTTCCACCTCGTCCATTCTCATCTCCCAACATTCTCAACACAGCAGCGTGTGATGGTTTTAAACCTCAATTACATCATATTGCTCCCTTTGAAAATCCTCTAATGGCTTCTCATCTCACTCAGAGAAAAATCCCAAATTGCACCTGTGGCCCACCTGGCTGATATTACCTGCTGCCCCTCCCTCTTCTACCTGTCTGCCTTATCTCAAACTCCCCTCTTCTCTGCTTGCTGGGGTCCAGCCACCTGGCCTCCGTTCCGTTCCTTGAATGTGCTGAGATTCTCCCTGTCCAGCTGTTGCCTTCATCTGGAATACCCCTGCTCAGATGGTGGCCTGCTCCACACCCTCACTTCGTTCAGGTCTCTGCTTGAATGCCTTTTAATCCATGTGGTATAAGTACCTTATATTACAGACCCCACCCTGGCCTGACCCTTCTCTGCCATGTTGTTTTACAGCATTTCACACCTGCTGCCATATATTATTTTGGTTTGTTCATCAGTTTATTGTCTGCTTCCCCCACTAGAATGTAAGCTCCTTGAGGTCAAGCTATAGGTTCATTCACTGCTGGGGATTCACTGAATCCCCAATGCCTGTACATAATAGAGATAAATACTTGTTGAATGAATGGATAGTAGAGGTACTATCATTATCCCTTTAATAAGAAGCCACTTTTGCTTTCAGTTTAATTGTCTCCTGTTGGGTAGTGAATTTCAAAAATATGAAATATATTTGTATCTTATGACCACTTTGTATTGCCCTAAAATGATCTCATTCAACCTTCAGATTTTATTTAAGTTCTAATATCTGAAGGACTGAACTGTTGTCTTTCAGATCTTGAAAATAAGAAACCAAGTGTGTTTTCTTTTGTTTGAGAGCCAGGAAATTTTGGACTAAGGTTGTTTATTATAAAGAAACTTTGTTTCCTATTATTGATTGAATATATATAAACAAAGATGAAGTAGAAAAAAATACTAACCACTCCCACTATACCATATTTTGATGCGTTTTCTCATCTCTTCTTGGCAAAGCATATTTTATATACTTGTAATCATGTGATATAAATCCACTTGAATTCTAATTTTAGTCTGTTTTTCTGGTTATAAATATAATGGATGCTTATTGAGTAATATTTGGAGAGTTCAAAAAATAAATAACAGTTGTTTTTCACCTTTGAAATTATTTTCGTAGTTTAAATCATACGAATATAATGGTTATTAGGAATTTTACAGGCGGAGTATTCACATGTCCTTTAGGAAAGAGAATATGATCATTCATAGTTTTAGAACTCAAATAAAGATAACAGTTGTAGCCACAACCACAAATTCCAAAGCAGATCTTACTTGTTATCTCCTTATCCCTTAATTATCAACTTATAACTCTTGCAGCTACTGCTGGTGGATTTTATGTCATTGTTTCTAAATAATATTCCTATTCTACTACTCTTTGCTTTTTTTGGACATTATCTATCCACATCCTACTCTGGAAGATTAGCATTAGCCCTCTGCCACCACAAATGCACATGAAGTACGTACAGTTTATATAATCTCCCAAATGTCTCCCAAAATACGTATGTCACAGCTTTTGCTTAAATTGTCATTCAGTTGACATTACCATGATCATGTAAATACCATTCATGACTGAGCCAAGTAGTGTACTATGGCAACACTTGCTTTTGTTTTCCCAAGGAGTAATAATAATTGTGTCCTCTTTATATTTTCTTGGGTTTTACGCATTGATCACTAATTCTTCCACACCCTTTCCACCCTGGGTGTGCATCTTCACCTTCTGTAGTAAAACATATCAGTTCCATTTCTTTTCCTCAGTAATATCCTTCCTTCAGTCTTTGTCCATCAGCTGCAAACCTGATGCTGGCTGTCATTTCAGAATTTCCCTTTGTCTTCAGATTTGCAAGTTCTTTCATTCTGCTCCTGGGCTAGAAAGCTGGCTTTGTGATGCTATGCAAGTCCCTTTCTTGATTAATTTCCTCTTTTGGTGAGGCATACCCTCTTGTAGCTCCCCAAGGACAAGGGCAAGGGCAATACATTTTTTCAGAAATGATATACCTGAAATTATCTTTATTTTACCGTCGTTCTTTGAAAAATATATATTTAAATATTTTATATGTTCACTATATTAATATGTACATGAATATATTAATAGTAACTTTGAAGTTTTGTGTTGCTTATGTGGGGTCAGTTTTCTTCATGTTCCTATCTCCTGTTTACTCATATTGGTCTCTACCTTTTACAATAGTCAATTCCCTAAATGTCTGCTGATCCTTGGCTGTTCATTCATATTTAAGAATGAATTACCGAAAGGATGACTGGCATCTCTGTATGCATGAGGGTGCCCTGACTCTTTAAGCAGGGAAACCTACAAATGTCATATCCACAGGTCTTTTCTCTTGGGGAGGTTAAAACTCCAGCAAGGAATCACTTTCAGAATTAATTTTTTTTCTGAATCTTTAGTATAATGTCCACATTCCTTTTTCTATAATATATTTTATCTGTTCAATGTTTATTTTGGTTCCTCTTTACTCTGCTCCAAACAAGGGCATGTGGGTTGGCCTTTGCCCCCACTCTATTTGATTGAGAACTTGCCAAAAAGAGGGAGAAGAAAGATGAAAGGGGGAGAAGAAGAAGGAGGACGAGAAGGAGGAGGAGAAGGGGGAGAAGAACAAGAGGGAGAAGGAGAGGGAGAAGGAGACAGAGGGAGAAGGGGAAGGAGAAAAAAAGAAGAAGGAGAAGGAGAAAAGGAAGAAAAGGAGAAGAAGAAGGAGAAAGAGAAGGAGGAGGAGATTGAGAAGGAGAGGGAGAAAGAGAAAAGAAGAAGGAGAAGAAAAAAAAAGAGAAAAGAGTGAAGAAGAAAGAAGATCTGCCGGTGCAGAGGAGGCAGTTTTAACTTTTATTGCACTGCTTCCTGGCTAATGCCTTATCCAGCTGGTCTGAGACTAAAATTTCTCCAAACCCACCTGCCTATCTGACTCTTACAGACAGAGAAAATGAAAAGCTATGCCACCTGGTGCATCCTACAATACTACCTGTATCTGATTTTGTCCCTGCTTATAGCAAATTTTATAGCCTGTCCTAAATCTCACATGCCTACTTCCTATCCATTTGTATTCTGAGAATTGTAGTTTCTGAGTACAAAAGGGATTAGAGGAGAATGATGAGAATTGCATTCTGGTTGCTTCTAAGAGCAGAACTCTGTGATAAATGGATGACGATAACATGTTCAGTCATTGTGATTCTATGCCAAAGGCAGACTCAGAGGCAGAATAACGCTATTGATCATGGTTTCCAACATGTCCCGTTAACCTTATAGTTGGTTCTAATCTCTTTTGATTTTAGCAATGTGATGCCCATTCCTGTATTCAGCATTATAGAAATATTTGTCCTCATCTGTTTCTTTATACACTACTTCATGGTTTGGAATCAGAAGGATGGTTTGAATCCCAGTTCTATTATTGCTAGTTATTTGAACTTCAGCAAATTACATCATCTTTCTGAATTCTGGTATCTTAATCTGGAAAACAGGGATACTATTATCTGCCCGGGAGGGTATTGTGCTGATTGGATAAGACAGGCTGAGTAGATGATGAGCAAAGACTGGTATTTTTGTCTGCTCAGTAAATGATAGCAAACTCTTCTTCTGGTCTAGTGAGCCAGAAGACACTTTAGACCAGAAGCCCCAGAGAGCTAAATTTAATTAATTATAGTAAAATTTAAAAGCTGACATCTTTTGTTGTGGAGTGCATTCTCCTACTGCATAACTTTTAGTGCCATAGTCTGAGTCATTATTTCTAATCTCGAGTCATTCAAATCCTTTTAAACACTGGAATATTAATCACTTAATGAATTATTGTTTAGTTATTTCATGTAAATTTTTTTTATTTTGTATAGCATTGGAACAATAGTTTGCCAATTATTGTAACTATGTGAATGACTACAGTTATTATTTAATATTTTGGAGTCAATAATAATTCATTCTTAAAAATTCAAATAAGAAAATTGAAGCTTTAAATCCATAACTAACGAGGAAAGAACTATTATGTTTAATTGCATATGGAGATTGATTTTTCAAATTACTTTTCAAGGTATTAAAAAATATCTGCTTGCCGGGCATGGTGGCTCACACCTGTAATCCAAGCACTTTGGGAGGCCGAAGCAGGTGGATTACCTGAGGTCAGGAGTTCGAGACCAGCCTGGCCAACATGGTGAAACCCCGTCTCTACTAAAAATACAAAATTAGCTGGGCACAGTGGTGCATGCCTGTAATCCCAGCTACTTGGGAGGGTGAGGCAGGAGAATCGCTTGAACCTGGGAGGCAGAGGTTGCAGCGAGCTGAGCCGAGATCATGCCATTGCACTCCAGCCTGGGCAACAAGAGCAAAACCGCATCTCAAAAAATAAACAAAAATTAAAATATATAAAAATATCTGCTTCATTATATACATCGAATCATCAGAAACTAACATTTAAGCTTCCTTTCCAAATAACAAAAGTCCTGATGCATTGTTAAGAAAAACTGCCCATCAGTGAGCTCTGCACACCACATTGTAAGCATGATGGCTTATCTTCCTTTACATTGGGAGCTCGGCTTCTAGTTCCAAAGTGTACAGCAGCTTTTAATCTATCACCCCATGGCAGGAAGGCATTACTGCAATACTTTCACTCTAGTGAAATCATCCTGAGGTCACAAAATGTGTTCAGGGTAACATAGTGGCTTGTGGCACTGGGATAGAAACCTGCATTGTTAGATCATTCATTTTAGGGCAGGGTTCCCATAGAAGGAAGTGGGTCTGGGCTGGCAATATCACCTCCTAGGAAATATGCAGTAAGATGGATTGTGTGTCTAAAGGTTAAACTCTTTCCCAAAGGTATTCAATGGCATTAGAAGTAACTCACCCCAGCTAGAGAAACTGTGTAGTAGTGTGAATGTAAGCAGTGAGATTAAATCTTCAGGAAACACAATGAAAGTCATTTTTTTTCACATGGATGGATCCAGGCCATATGGAGGCTTCACTGCTTCTTATACCTCCAGTGAAGATGCAGATAATGTGGGATGTTGTAAATGTACCTCATTTTGATCAGGTGCATTGCAGATGCCCCCCAGCTACTGCCAATGGCAGCAGAGCCATCCATTTTCCCTTTAGTGATCAAAGTTCACTTGAAATATTTGACATAAGACAAACACATATAAGCAGATCAAAAACTTACTGCAGACAGAAAAAAGCTTTCTGATTTCAGGAAGAAACTGCTGTGGTGAATTTAAAACTTTAATGCCATTAGATGAACTTCTAGCACAGTTTCAGTCGTGTTACCATGAGGATTGGTGACCTGTCCCATAGTCCTTGGTCAATTATTTGGTGCGGAAAGAGAGCATCTACCTCCTAGAAGGTAGCTTAGTCTCGGAGAATAATTAATTTTGCTGGGGACAGAACAGGCTTTATTGTTTCTAGTCATCTATTCACACACGTATTTCCAGTGAAAATAAATGGGAGGTTTGATTTGATATAGAATATTTCAAAATTAAGCAAGATATGGTCTCTAATTATAAATATCCTCCTATTTCCTGGATTGGTGCTATTACCTAAGGGTTTTAAAATTTAGAAGTGGAAGTGAATATTAAAAAAAAACCACTAAATTATTTCATTGGTACAAGAAGCATCTATTACTTTATTAAAAGGGGGCAAATTCATTGGTAGGTCAATGTCCTATTATCTGTTTGATTTAAATTAAATTATTAGATCAAGTGGAGAATTGCTAATCAAGCCATTAGGACCTGCCACCATTATATTTGGGTATTCCTCTAAATTAAATATTAATGAACAGTAGGCCTCAATATTTTAACTTATTGATACAGAGCCAAACCCCAGCCACCTAATCTACACCAACAGGAAGATAGAGAACTGATTTTTGCACATTTTTCCTTTATAAACTTGCAGAAACTTCCATAATTTGCATGCCTTTTACCCATAATCATAATCCTGACTGCATCTAGAAAAACAAATCAAAGCAGTAATGTTGATGTTTTAGTTACTTATTCCTGTATTGTTTATCTCTTCTGTTGTGGCCTGAATCTTACTACTACTTTCTCTGTTGCCTTCTGTTTTCTTAGTGTGTGGTGGGTCTCTTCCAAACACTTCTGAAGGAAACTTTACTTCTCCTGGCTATGATGGAGTCAGGAATTACTCGACAAACCTAAACTGTGAATGAACTCTCAGCAATCCAAATCAGGAAAAATCATCTATTTATAATCATTTTGAAGATTTTTTTACCTAGAAAGTCACCAAGACTGTCAATTTGATGTCCTCGAGTTTCGAGTGGGTGAGTTCTAAGAACACATTCTCCCATTTATATATTCTTTTTACGTTTTTGTTGTTGTGGCTGTTGTTGTTTTGAGATAGGAGCTCACTGTCTTGCCCAGACTGGAGTGCAGTGGTGTGATCATAGCTCACTGCAGCCTCAACCTCCCAGGCTCAGGTGATCCTCCTGCCTCGGTCTCCCAAGTAGCTTGGACTACATGCATGCACCACCATGTACAACTAATTTTTAAAAATTTTTGTAGAGATGGGGTCTCTCTGTGTTGTCCAGGCTGGTCTCGAACTCGTGGCCTCAGGTGATCCTTCCTCCTTGGCCTCCCAAAGAGCTGGGGTTGCAGACATGAGCCACCATGCCTGACCTATAATATTCTTCTTATGCTTGGAGACCACCAACAATGAAGGGAGTCAAATGGCTCTAACATAGGTACGTATGATACAAAAGAACTCTGTTCAAAGAAAGCCATAATTCTGTGTGTGCCCAGCTGAGGAAAATGAACCCCAGGGACAGTGAGCGAGGCAGATCACTGCACAACTAGACCCTGTGTTACAGTCGCTTGGTTTTCTGCCATGTGAGACTTCCTCAAGGGAGAGTCCACTACTATCAAGACTCCTTTCCAAGGAGACTGGGACTTAGCATGGTCAGCATGTGTTGGCAGTTTCCTGAACTTCCAGGATTTACAAAGCGGCTGTGAAATTCTCCTGAGGGCTTAGGTGTTAAAAGAAGTTTTGCAATGTACCAGATGGAGAAACCCATGGAAGCTATTTGGGGAAATAACCCCAAAGCAGTCATTTGTCTTTGTTTTTGTAACAGAAAAGTATTGTGATGTACTCAATAAGCCATAGTTCACTTAAGAATTTTTAAAACTCTGTATTCAAGAAGGATGAATCAATTTTCATTCTTTCTTATAATCAAGGTGTAGTTTATTCATTAGGTTGCTTCTGTGATTACGCTGACATTTTTTTCTCAGTAAATAAACAAGTAGATAGAGAAGACAATAATATTGTAAATAGTATTTACTGTCAAAGTTTTGCTGAGTTCTGTGTTATGCCAAAATTGAAAGAAAAGGAGGCTGGGCTTGGCGCGGTGGCTCACGCCTGTAATCCCAGCACTTTGGGAGGCTGAGGCGGGTGGATCACAAGGTCAGGAGATCGAGACCATCCTGGCTAACACAGTGAAACCCTTCTCTACTAAAAATACAAAAAATTAGCCGAGCAAGGTGGCGGGCACATGTGGTCCCAGCTACTCAGGAGGCTGAGGCAGGAGAATGGCATGAACCCGGGAGGTGGAGCTTGCAGTGAGCCTAGATCACGCCACTGCACTCCAGTCTGGGTGACAGAGCAAGACTCTGTCTCAAAAAAAAAAAAAAAAAAAATACAAAATGTGCTCTTAAGATAGATAACTTGATTTTCTCTAACCTCTATAGTCTGGAATATTGTCTCTTTGGCCTTTCTGTAAATGCTATATAGACCAATAATATTCTTAACTTTAATTTTGAATTTCTTCATTCAGGAATTCTAATTCCATGTACCCAACCTAGCTAGTCCTCTCGCCTGATACCCCAGATGATAAATTTAATTAATTAATTAATTAATTAATTTATGCGATGGGAGTCTCCCTCTGTCTCCCAGGCTGGAGTGCAGTGGCTCATTCTCAGGTTACTGCAATCTCCACCTACTGGGTTCAAGTGATTCTCCTGCCTCAGCCTCCTGAGTAGCTGGGAATACAGGCACGCGCCACCACTCCTGGCTAATTTTTTTTTGTATTTTTAGTAGAGATGGGGTTTCAGCGTGTTGGTAAGGCTGGTCTCGAGCTCCTGACCTCATGATCTGCCTGCCTTGGCTTCCCAAAGTGCTGGGATTACAGGCGTGAGCCACTGCACCTGGCCTCCCAGATGATAAATCTTATTGCTTGGTGTATAAAGAAAATGTGGCACATATACACCATGGACTACTATGCAGCCATAAAAAAGAATGAGTTCATGTCCTTTGCAGAGACATGGATGAAGCTGGAAATCATCCAGATCCTACTGCTCCTGCCATGCTGCATCACTGCCACTCACTGCAGTGAGCCCAGCTGTGCAGCTGTAGGCTACAGCCTCCAGCATGCAGCAGGTGGCTCTTTCTTTCCCCCTTCCTTTTTTTTTTTTTTTTTTCCTCCAAGATGGATTCTTGCTCTGTTACCTGGGCTAGACTGCAGTGGCGCGATCTTGGCTCACTACAACCTCCGCCTCCTGGGTTTAAGCGATTCTCCTGCTTCATCCTCCCAAGTAGCTGGGACTACAGGAGCACCACTCCCGGCTAATTTTTGTATGTTTAGCAGAGACGGGGGTTTCACCATCTTGGCCAGGCTGGTCTTAAACTTGACCTCGTGATCCACCGGCCTCGGCCTCCCAAAGTGCTGGGATTACAGGCATGAGTCACCATGCCCAGCCCCTTCCCCACTTCTAAGCTGGGCACACACCAGCAGAACACACAGAAGCAAAAGAGCCTGGAACGGGCTGACTCCCGCTTAGCAGGCTTTATATACCAAGGTTCCTGGACTACATGTTCTGATTGGATGAGAGCAAGCCTTAGGCTAACCAATCAGAACATGATAGGAAAGCCCAATCAGAATAAGCCTAGAGGTTTTCTTTCATCCAATCAGAACATTGGTGGCGACAACAGAGACTGAAGTGCAGCCGGAGCAGTAAGATGGCGGACTAGCAGCTGGCTCGGTACGGTGCTATAGCGGGAGGAGAAGGTGGTTTCCGCTGACGCAAGCTGGAGGCCGGAGCCTGTGGCACAGCGGCTCGCCTCGCTGAGGCTGGTGGCTGCAACAGAGACGGCACAGCTGCCGGAGTGGTAGAAAGGCGGCCACGGTAGGTGCGTATCCTCAACTGTACTGCCCACTGCGTGGGGGCGCTATTCCGGGCATCACTGCCTGCAGCTGGGAGGGGTTTGGGGTGCTATCCAGGGCTGTGGTGCTCGGGGACGGAGGGCGGGTTGGGGCGCTGTTCTAGGCGTCATTTCTTCCGGTATGGGGGCGGTTTGGGGTCGCTATTGGGTGCTCGAGGTGAGGACGGGTTGGGGGCGCTATCGGTGGTTACACTTCCTGGGAGTGTGGGGGTGTTCGGGACACTATCGAGGGCTACACTGCTGGTGGTGGCAAAGGTGGCCGCCACAGCGGTGGCCTCCAAGGAAGGAGCCAGGCTCCAGAATCTAGAGGGAGACCTCCTACTGCTCGTGGATTTAGCCCGGTGGGGGCACAGCGTTTCCATGGGAATCAGGAGCATGGCAGGGCCCCGACACCCGTCATGGTTCCCGGGTCTGCGTCCTCTTGCTCTGTGTTGAGACAACCTGGGATCCCTGGACACGGAGTAGCAGGCGTCATGGGGGGACAGGGCCCTGTGGGTGGAGGCGTTAGGAACGGAAACTGGCACTCGGATTGGGCGGGGGCGCGGGGAGGGGGGGACAGGGCAGGCGGGGTGGTGGTGGCTGGGTGTGAGTTTTGCTGTTCTTGCTCGCCGAGGAGCCGCAGCCCCGGTGGGCCCAACGGCTCCTGTGGATGGGGAGCAGGCCACTGTGGAGTCTCCAGTTAACTGAAACCTGTCACTGCCACCCAGTGGCCACTATGACGAGGTTAGGCTCTAACGTTACCACTCCCTGCATCATGTTCTAGGCTTTTCTGACTTTGTTGGCTCAGCTGCTCCGTGCCAGAAGGAGGAACAACCTGCCACACGCTGGAAAGTGAAGGCTGGAGCCTGGAGCCTGGGACGTGGCGGCTGGCTTCGCTGCGGTGGCTGGTGCTTTGGAGGAGTAGGTAGGAGGGCCGCCGTCTGTGGCCAGGTTGGGGGGCAGGGCTGTGGCTGTGGCCAGGTGGTAAGAGCCTTGTAGGGAGCGCCAGTGCATCGAGGGCGACAGCAGCGGTGGTTGTATTGGCATTGGCCCTAGTGGTGGCAGCAGCCGCAAGTCTGGGGTCCTGGGAAGTGGGAGTAGGAGCGCTGCGGAGCCACCTGGCCTGGCATGGGTAGGAAGCTGTGGGTGCTGTGCCGTGGGCCTCGGTGGTAGCAGTGGAGGTGCCGTCAGGGCAAGGAGGAGTCCTCCCCCTTCTTCTGTAGAATCTGGAGGGTCCCTTCCTTCTGCTGGCACCTGAGCCAGACGTGAATGGAGCATTATCTCAGTCTTAACAAAATTTAGGGGGTGATTGTGTATCTTTTTGCTTGTTTTTTTTGTTGTTGTTGTAAAAAAGTCTTGAACTTTTTCAGTTTTCATGAATCAAGGAGGGGAAAAAAGGTATCATAATAGGCCTTCTGGTTCCCTCACCTGTTCTTTTTCCTTTCTTCCAGTCTGTTTTATTCTCATCATCATCATCTCGTTCCTCTTTACTTGCTTATGCTGCTGGTTCTATTTCTTGTTTCTATTCTTGTTTCTCCTTCACCTCCTCCTGCTTTTGTTTGCTTTTTCCCCAAACCCAAAACTGAGTTAAAAATAAACTACTTGTCAGTGTGTTGTACTTTAAAAATAATTGGTCCATTACTATGTCTTAGAGATTTATATAATTATTTAGTTACTTGAATAGCTATGCTTTCCTGTTCCTGTTAACGCATTGTAGGTAGTTATACAAGTAATTAAAAAAAAAAATGAAGCATCAAATAAAATACTGGTAGGAAACAGCCATTTCATACCTCTTTTATATTAGTCTGGAGATATGCAAGAGGCATGGGGTAATAAGTTCCAATTTAGGAGGTCATTAAGTAAACTATATTCCCTTCATGTTATTTCTCTGCCACTGTTTTCAAGATTATTATCTGCATGAGCAAACCTGGTTTGTCACCACATCTTTACAATAGGAAAAGGAAGGGGAGATCATGTGAATAATGTTTTAAGGCCAGGATTCACAACCAAAAGCAAGGCTTTATTAACTTTTGCCTTTAAGAACCTGCAGTACTGAGCCCTCTTTCCTAGTATTACAACCTTTAGTATGAACCCTTTTTTCAGTGATTGCTCTAGAAGTTTATGCATTTTATTGAATACTTTAAAGAAACAAATGTATATTGTATCATTTTTCAAGCCCACAGAGATGGATTAAGGCTTATAATTTTGACACTTTTAAAATTATTTTTAAGGTTATGGCATGTAAAATACTGTTGCTATATGTAAGAATATGCATAAGTACCACCAGATAGCTTATTTTGAAGAGACAGTGTCTAAATTTTTGTCCAGAGTAGATTGGTTGCAGTTTCTTAGGTGTGTTTCTCAGTACATTGCCTCAGTGTTTTAAAGCATGTAGAAATTTGGATTGTTTACTCTCATATGGTCGTTTGTTTATAGGTTGTTTAATATTTCTAGGGACTAAAGACATCACAGCCTCCTTTAAGATTCAGTACTATAATAAGATTTGTTATATATAGGGTTAGAATCCAACAAACTCAAGAGGAAAATTGTTAAATTATATAGCTGTAGAGCAGGACATAAAACCTAGGTTCTAAGCTCTAAGGGAGCTACCAAACAAGTGCGTCAGTGACTGAGCATAGCATAGAGTGGGCAGAATTACAGGATGGTTAAGAGAGTGAGCTGTGCAGCCTAACTCTATGTAAACATTACTTTTTTTTTTTTTTTTTTTTAAAACAGATTCTCACTCTGTCGCCCAAGCTGGAGTGCAGTGGTACAATCTGGGCTTACTGCAACCTCCGCCTTTCAGGTTGAAGGGATTCTTTTGCCTCAGCCTTCCGAGTAGCTGAGACTACATAAGTGCATGCCACTACACCTAGCTAATTTTTGTATTTTTTGTAGAGATGGGGTATCACTCTGTTGGCCAGGTCTGTCTCGAACTCCAGACCTCAAGTGATCTGCCTGTCTTGGCCTCCCAAAGTGCTGGAATTGCAGGCATAAGTCACTGCCTCTAGCCTGGGGAGGAGGGTTACTGTTGAAGTATTATCTTTGTATCCTAAAACATGCCCTTTTGAAAGCGATGACGTTGATAAAAATCTTCTCTGAAGTCTTTGCAAGGTATCATCTTTTACCTCCATTTTCCTACGTAGTGTTTGTATTTAATGTTTTCTTGTATTCCACAGACTGTGTTTTAGTATTTATAACTATAGTATTATGTATTACTTTTCTACATTGAAAAGGAAAAATTGTATTGACCTTTTCTTAACATATAAATGAACTTGACAAGCAAACATTTTTCAAATCAGTTTTCCCTTTCACTAATCTCAGAGTGGGTACAAGACACACTTTCCCATTTAAGGTAAAGGTACACGTTTATACCTTATCTCAGAATAGTCAGAAGTCGGGTTCTTATTGTGTGGTTAGTAATGCAAATATTAGTAAGTTCATGTACTTAGTATTTAGAAGAATTCTGAAATAGCACTTGTTAATTTGTAACTTTTATGCATTTATTACTTTTTTGTAATTTTTTATAGTGTTCCCAAACTTGACACTCATAGGCTATTAGTAGTAGGTTTTACTTCTATCTCTTCTGGCCTTGAGTACATAAGATGTATTTTCCTTATGTTTAGCATATAATATAAATTTAATTGTTCAGATTTTAAACAAAAAGGACCTATAGAATTATTGCTTACATTGACACCGGCCCAGTTGTCCCATGGATAGGGTTTTGTTTGGATCAACGTAAGAGTTGACCCTGCTGTTAAACCTTGAAACTTGTATCTGTTTTATCTGAGTTCTCTCCTCAAAAAAAGACCTTCAGTAAGTATCAAATAACTGAAAAATATCAGATCTCAGCACCAGATGCCTCCTGCCCCTCTCTAATTTCTGTTCTCTTACACATTATTACATTTCTTTCCTGACCCTAGTTTTAGTCAGTCAGGGAGATAAATTTGAGACTGAGCCCCTATCTCCTGGGCTGCAGCACCAGGTTAAAGCTTTCTTGCTTGGTAATACTTGTCACCTCAATGACTAGTTACTGTCTGGTGAGCAGCAGGACCTGGACCAAACCCTTGGTGTTCAGGTAGTAACATGAACAACGATCTTAACTGTCATTCTTTACTGAAATTTTACTTTTTAATTACCGGGCCTCTTCTTTATTATCTATCATTCCTTTGACCTCATATCTCTTTTTCTTTGACTTTACAGTCAAAGAACTTAATGCTTCCTAAATCCAAATATTAAAGTTAAAAAAAGAGAAAGGAAATGTGTGCAGAGAAAGTGTGTTTTAGAAGTTAATTAAAGATGGATTCACAGATGTTTGTAGATTTACCTAGAGTTTTGAATTCAGGTGAGTTTTCACAATATGCAGTAAGTTGAAAAGAATCCCAAGATAATTGTGACATAATAAAGCTAGGTATTGAAAACCAAAAAGATTTCACCTCAGTATGGCACTTTTAATTCAAGAACAGTAACCACCAAATGAGTTTTTCAGACTAATCATTACTCTTTAAAAATTAAGAGAAAATGTATGTATAACTTTTATTTTAGTTTTAGTACAGCTTCTGACTTTATTTATCAATAGATAGGACAAAATAGATGAGCATCTGCTTCCCTTCCCCCTAAGCAATGTATTCTTCCGAAATGTAATACATTTTTATTTATACTTGAAGGCAGTGTTTTTCAATCTTTTCCATGTTAGTAGCTCAGATCTTTAAGGACAGTGGATGTATTCTAGGGGCAACTTGTGGTCTTAATCCTTACTGGAGCTCTGATAATCTTAGATTCTTTCTTTCCTATTTGTGAATAAACTTCTGCTCCAGTAGGATAAACCTGTTTACCATGTGACTGCCTAACTGATCTGTTGCTTTATGTCCCAGTTTTTAGAAGCAAGCAGATTATATTACCCGGATTAAAATGTTTTCTTGATACTGAAGATAGGATCTTAAATTTCTACTTATGAGTTACTTTAAGTACAACTTTGATTAAATTATGGGGATCGAGTTTCCATAGCTTTCACCATAGTGAAAATGGAAAGCAGGAAGCATTCTACAGCAAACCCTGAACTTATTTATAGAAAGTTAATTAAGTGTCTGAGCAAAGCAAGCATTCACACTTCGGGGTGTGTGTGTGTGTGTGTGTATGTGTGAGTGAGACAGATGAGCATGGTACTTGAAGCATAATTGTGCTTCTTCAGGTTGCAATATCCAGTAATTTTATCATACAGTTACAGTAACTAATGTTAAATCCACAAACCTACTTTGGCTACTCTGTATTTGTATTCTAAAATAATATTTTTAGCTTCCAAATAGAAGTGTTATAATTTTTTCTGAATTAGAAAGTATTTTTTCCATTGAGTTAAAAAATCATTTTTCATGTTTATTATATCTTAAAAATGATTGCATTGTTATCTAGATTCTCTTTTGTCTTTCACTGTGAGTTTTTATTGGTTTATTATATGTTTATTTTCTTTTTAGGAAGCCATCATTCTTCAGAAGGCAATGACGGAACAGTACCAGCAGCAACTGAAGGACCAGCAGAAGGTTAAAAGAAAAAGAGATTTTATGTGTTACTGTATTTGTTGTATTTTTATTTTTTATTTTTTCCTCGAAATGGAGTCTTGTTCCATCACCAGGCTGGAGTGCAGTGGCATGATCTCAGCTCACTGCAACCTCCGACTCCCTGGTTCAAGGGATTCTTCTGCCTCAGCCTCCTGAGTAGCTGGGATTACAGGCACGCACCACCACACCCAGCTAATTTTTGTATTTTTAGTAGAGACAGGGTTTCACCATGTTGGCCAGGATGGTCTCGATCTCCTGACCTTGTGATTTCGCCTGCCTTGGCCTCACAAAGTGCTGGGATTACAGGCGTGAGCCACCATGCCTGGCCTGTTGTATGTCTATTCTCTTTTACAGATTATATTATTCTTAAAACACCTGTCTTGGAAATAAAAGATGATTCTTTTGGTATGCTTTCCTAGGCAACAAGTTGTTTTAAGTTATAAGAGTTAATATACCTCTTTACTATATTGATCAATAAAGCCTATGAGGATGAAAACTAAGTGGTAACTGAAGGTCTTCATGATGCAAATACTATTTTTCTGATCATAGTTTTTATTATAAATTGTAACTTCCTAAGTATGTATGCTTCATTACTTGTTGATGTCTAAATCTGGCCTAGTAGTCAGTGCACATGGTAACAGACGGTAACGCTAGGTGACAACCTTTAATAATAGAAAAATAGAACATTCTCTTTAATGCAGATTTATTGACATTTTTAGGTATAACAGTTTCCTGCTGACAGCTTTTCAAGTGCTTGTCCATCTTCTCTGTAATACTGGGGCTTTAGTTAAGGGATACTCGAGTGTTGTCAGTAAATTAGTTTATGTACATAGATGTGTTTTTACAGTTCCTCTTCCTGCATTCAGTGTTTAGCTTTTCAGTTATGCTTCCAATTAAGTGTATTTAATTATTTAATCTCTGAAAGTAGAATTAATTCAACTAAATTAAAGGGGCAATTTTTAATAAGCATTTAATTCGTATGCTGTTTACAGAAAAACTATCTGGGTTTTAAAAAGTTGCTTTAGATTTTGCCATCTTAGTACGTCCTTATGTGGTGTACTGTTTTGGTGTTTATTTTTATTTTTGATAAAATATACATAATACAAAATAACACTTAACCATTTTTAAGGGCACACAGGTCCCTGGTGTTTTAAGCACATCCGCATTGTTAGCCATCACCACTCTCCATCTCCAGAGCTTTGTCATCATTCTAAACTGCAGCTCTGTACCCCATAAGCAATAGCTCCCCATTGAACCCTCCTCCTGGCCCTGGCAATTACTATTCTATTTTCTGTTTATGAATTTGTTTATTCTAAATACCTTATATAAGTGGACTTGTACAATATTTGTCCTTTTGTGTCTGGCTTATTTCACTTAGCATAATGCTGTCAAGGCTCATAACACTATCAGAATTTCCTTTTTTAAAAAAAAAATTTTATTTGTAGAAGTGAGGTCTTGCCGTGTTGCCCAGGCTGGTCTCAAAATTCTGTGCTTAAGCGACCAGCCCGCCTTGACCTCCCAAAGTGCTAGGATTACAGGTGTAAGCTGCTGAACCTGGTGAGTTTTTTTTTTTTTAAATGCCTGAATAATATTCTGCGTATGTGTATATTACATTTTCTTTATCTATTCACCTATCGATGGGCATAGGGCTGGTTCTACCTTTTGGCCACTGTGAATAATGCTGCTGTTAAACGGGTGTACAAATACCTGTTTGAGTCCCTGCTCTTAGTTCTTTTGGCTTAAAGGGTGTTGTTGGATCATGTAATTCTATGCTTAATATGTTAACTACCAAACCGTTTTCCACAGTGGGCTGTAACATTTTACATTCCAAAAAGCAATCCATAAAGGTTCCAATTTATCTCTATTATTGTTAACAGTTAATATTTTCTGTTTATGTATTGCATTTTTATAGTGTTTGAAATTCATCTGAGGGTTTTCCTGATACCAAAATATTAGAAAATGTTTTTTAAAAAAATGCCTTGTTGTAAAGACTTTTACATGTTACTTGATGCCCTGTGATCTATTTTCTCAGTAAGAAGAGGAACTTCTCTTCACCCAGCCTCATTCCACTGCACCCACTCTTTTCTGTGTTGGGTTATGCGGGGGAGAAAGGGAGCTTTGTACCACTGTCCTGTGTTGTGGTAGCCCATCACTGAGTTGTAAAGCACCTTGCCTCCTCTTTTACTTGGGAGAAATGCATTGATGCTAGGTGCCATATGGATTTATTTTTGGAGTGATATTTTTCCAACTTTATGGAATTAATACTAGATAGAAAGTTAGCAGATGGATTCTGTATCTGATGAGAGTTTTGGGTAACTTGAATACCTAGTTTCTGAGCCTTATTTTTCCTCTGATGCAAGACCACTGTAAATTAGCCAGCCGGTGAAAAACTCTTACCGCTCTGGATATGGGTTTAGGACCCTGGATTTCTACTACTCATTTTTTTACTACTTGTGCAGGGATAATGGCCCAAGTTGCAGTGTCCCCCCTGCCTGTTGAAGATGAGTTCTCAGAGAGCAGGATGGCTGTGACATTCCTGATGTCAGCTCTCGAGTCCATGATGAGACTTTTTGTTCTAACATTCCATATTTGAGTAGGACTGGGCTGTAGATAAGGTTGATTTGTTTTTTGTAGAACATAATTTTATGTTTTTTTTTTTTTTTTAAATAATGAGTAGTTCTTTCTCTTGAATAGTAGCTGTGGTCAAACACTTCAACCAAATGTGCATGTGGAGATTCTACACCAGTTTTCGGACAATCTGGATACCAACTGGGTATCCCCAATTGCATTCTGACACTACCTGGAGTTAGTGCCGACCCCTCAGGGATAGAGGCTCAGTCCACAAGACTACCTTCACTTCACATGCCAATTGCAAGTCCTAGGTTGTTAGATGTACTTTTGACCAATCAGTTAGAAACCAGGATCTCATGGCCCCTTCTTCGGTTGAATCATTTGCTAGAACAGCTTGCAGAACTCAGAAAAACAGGTTATTTTCTTTTTTTTCTGAGATACAGGGTCTTACTGTGTTGCCAGGCTGCAATTCAGCCGTGTGATCAAAAGCTCATTGTAGCCTTGAACTCCTGGACTCGTGATCCTCCTGCCCCAGCCTCCCAATGAGGAGTACAGGCCTGCACCACCGTATCTGGCTATGTTCTTTTATGTTTTGTAGAGATGGCGTCTTGTTATGTTGCCCAGGCTGGTCCCAAATTTCTGGGCTCACATGATCCTCCCATCTCAACCTCCCAAAGTGCTAGGATTATGGGCGTGAGCCACTGGATCTCACCAATTTACTTTCTATACTGTTCATTGTAAAGGATATATTTCAGAAACAGCCAATGAAAGAGATGTACACATGCTGGGCTTCTGCCTGTATTCTCAGCACTTTGGGAGACCGAAGCAGGAGCATCGCTTAAGCTCAAGAGTTTAAGACCAGGCTGGGCAAACACTGGAAACCCATCTCCTACAAATTTTTTTTTCTCAAAATAGCCTGGTGCGGTGACATTGTGCCTACACTTGTAGTTACTCAGGAGGTTGAGGTGAAAGGATGGCTTTGAACTAGGAGGCATACTGGTTTGCAGTGATCCACGATTGTGCCACTCTCAACCTGGGAGACAGAGCCAGACCCTGTCTCAAAAAAAAAAAAAAAAAAAAAAAAGAAGAAATAAGATGCACAGGGCAGGGTATGTGGGAAGGGGCACAGAGCTTCCATGCCCTCTATTGGGCATGTTACCTCTTAGTATCCCCTTTGTGGTTCAGCAACCCAGACATTCTCCAAACCCTGTTGTTTAGGGTGTTTATGAAGGCTTCATTATGCAGGCGATGATTGATTGAAATCAGTTGACTGTTGTGATTAAGTCAATCTTCAGCCACTGTTTCTTCTGGAGCTCAGTAGGTTGAGGCTGACATTCCAAGCCTCTAATCACATGGTTTGCTCTTCTGGCAACCAGCCCTCCTCCTGAAAGCTGTCTAGGAGCTTTCAGTCACCCAGTCATCTCAGTAACATCATCAAATGCATTCTTACTATGGTGGAGATTCCCAAAGTCTTAGAGGTTCTTGTGTTAGAAAACCTGGGGACTGAGACCAAATATTGAAACAGAAGATGGCTCCTATCACCTTTATCACTGAGAAGTTTATGAGAACTTTAGAAGAAGCTCTGTGCCGGGATAAGGGGCAGAAACCAAATGTGTATTTCTTTTCTTTTTCTTTTTGGACAGAGTGTCTCTCTCTCACCCATACTGGAGTGTAATGATGCAGTCAAATTATCTGGCAGCCTCAACACCTGGCTCAAACATTCTTCCGCCCTCCAGCCTTTGAGAGTATTGCGACTACAGGTGCACACCATCCTTGCTCAGCTAATTTTTGTATTTATTTTTGTAGAGATGGGATCTTGTTTACCGTTGCCAAGGCTGGTCTCGATCTCCTGGGCTAAAGCGACCCCTTTCACCTCAGCCTCTCAAGTAGCTGAAAATACAGGATGCATACCACCATGGCCCAGCTTAATTTTTTCTTTCTTATTTCTTTTTGGTTTTGTTGTTTAGTTGGGGATCTTGCTATGTTTCCCAGTTTGGTCTTGAACTCCTGGCCTCAAGCCTTTCCCCGCTTTGACCTCCTAAACTGTTGGAATTATGGGTGTGAGCCACGACTACTGTGTCTAGCAGTTACAAGGGTTTTTATAAGAGAAAGAGGGAGGTAAGAGAGTCAGAATTGGAGGAGATGTGATGATGGAAGCAGAGGTCAGAGAAGGAGATTTGAATATGCTTCGCTTCTGGCTTTGAAGATGCAGTTAGGGGCCATGAGCCAATTGAATGGGGGTGGCTTTTAGAAGCTGGGAAAGGCAAGGGAACACATCCTCTCTGGAGCCTCCAGAAGGAATGCAGTCCTGCTGACACCTTGGCTTTAGCCTTAATTGACCTATTTTGGACTTCTGGCTCCCAGAACTGTTAGGTGGTAGATTTGTGGTGTATTAAGGCACTCAATGTAGGGCAGTTTGTAACAGCTGCAAGAAGAAATGA